TCATTATTGACACATCCTTTGCTTTTTAGATTAAATTTTGATTGCTTTGCAGTTGCTCATTCGTGCAGGGAGTGTCTCGTCTGTCAGTATGACCTCATCCTTCTTTTTTTTTTTTTAATATCCGTTATGACAACTGCATGCTCAGCACAGCCCCTGAGCGTGCGGGCCAGGCTGTTGTCAGGGACTCCATTAAGACGAGCTATCAAAAACAGGAAAAAATTATCCGACTGAAAAGTTCCACAGCAGCACTCCTGCCCATCAGTCTGTGGACCAAACGTTAGGTTCATGTAAAAAAGAGAAAGCTGCACTGATTGTGGCCAACAGTTTGGACATATAAACAATAAATTTGCAGCACATTTTTGTAGCAGCAGCAATTATTTTTCTTCTATCTACCTCTGTCTGACAAGTGTTTTATGACACATCATCTGAAACAGTTCCACTCTGTTTACAGAGGGATTCTCATCTTTTCAACAAGTATCTAATAGGTTTATTTTTGCATTTTATGACAGATTATCTGCTGTTATCAGTCTGAAAATGTAACAATAAAAAGCATGAGATAGTAATAACCATTTCATCTGCATATGGATTTATCTGGGAATGCCTGTTCTTTATTGCTTTACTTTATTGTTCATGTTTTAACCATATCTTGGATTAAAAAGACATATTCCTTGTGAGCTCACACACTGGTTTGTATACTACTGTACAGAAGCTGCAACTTCAAGACATTTAAGTGAATGAACTGCTTTATTTTTTAAATTTAAATATTTGATCTAATACAAGTTCCATTTTGTGCTGCCCTGCCTGAAGTATTCCCGTTTTCATCGCCACATTAAATCTATACAAGGCAATTCAAACTTTAATCTAGTTTACAACAGACCATAATGCCAGTAACTCTGGCACAATCTTAGGACAATATTTTTAGGCATAAAAGATTAAAACAATAATTTAAATCTTTTAAAGTGGGGATCTGTGGATACATCATAAACAGTTAATATCTTACTTGTTGGAGATAGAAATAGAGTTTAAGGGTGCATTCACACTAGCCCTGTTTAGTCCGCTTTAATCGAACTCTAGCTCGTTTTCCTAGAAAGTCCGGCTCGTTTAGGGAGGTGTGAACGCGCCATCGAACTCTGTCACGGAACAAAAAGGCGAACTCTGGCCCGGGCTAAAACCTAGGTCTCGGTCCGGTAGAAGTGAACTCCAGCACGGTTCAAGTACAGTGTGAATGTAAACAGACTGAGCCCTGCTCCGCAGGGTAAACAAACACGCATTTCTCTGACCTTATATGGAGCCGTCAGCTGCCTCGTGTGGAAAAACAATATTCTCCATGGTCTTCTGTCTCATCTTCTGCTCATGCTAAGTCAATTTTTGAAAAATGACAAAATATAACTCCTAAAACTGCTAAAACTTGATGCCACTTCGTTTTTATTTTTATTTACAGAAGAAGAAGACGTGTCTTCAGAGGTTTTTGTGTTGTTTCTTTCAGTAGTTCTTGGTGCAGCGCCCCCACAGGCGAGCGGGGGAAAAGGTTGGTTCAACAGGTTGACTCGACTGCACAGTGCAGTGTGAATGCAAAAGCACCAGCTCAAATGTAAACAAAAGGTCATGAATATTGGTCTCGAACTGAACCGAGTCTACCGGACTATCTAGTGTGAAAATGACCTAATTCTGACATGAATGACTTGCTAACAGCTAGCCTGAGGTGGGACCAGTGTTAAACACTATTTCATAAACAAACAATTTCAGAAACATAAACACTATTTCATGAACATAAAACACTATTTCATAAACATAATACACCATTTCAAAAACATAAACACTATTTCATGAACATAAAACACTATTTCATAAACATAATACACTATTTCAAAAACATAATACACTATTTCAAAAACATAAACACTATTTCATAAACACAGAACACCATTTCATAAACATAAACACTTTTTCATAAACATAATACACTATTTCATAAACATAATACACGATTTCATAAACATAATACACAATTTCATAAACATAATACACTATTTCATGAACATAAAACACTATTTCATAAACAATACACTATTTCAAAAACATAATACACTATTTCAAAAACATAAACA